CTAAACACTCGTTAGTTAGCATGAAACATAAATTGAAGAGGACTATTTTTCCAATGAACTATATTTGAGAGCCTGATGAAGCAGTACGAACAAATGCTTCTCATATCATAATTCTAACGTTGTTAACACATAAATGAATGCACCATTTATTCAATTTTTAACCGATCACTTTTGAAACTAGTAATTAAATTAGAGTTTTGTAGATGTACATTTAATTTTATATGGACACGTCAAAATACAATGAAAAAAAATCGATGAATGATGGCTGATGCATGTAATGCGATAATTACCCTTTTACGGTTTTACGACGCGATCCGAATGCTAAATCTTTTGTTTGATGTACATTTGTGTTTGTGTGACACAGCCATCATCACGCCATTACCAACAACATAATGCAAAAGTAAACGAGATGAGTATGCAATAATAAGCAAATAAAATTGTTGGGTAGTAAAACATTATTAATTCCTCTTTATTCTTCTTTCTTGCCCTACACGATCACCGCACCACAAATATAAATCCATCCTTCTAAGCAACTAAATAAATCCCTCAATCATCCATCCATTCATTTGTTCTTATCCTAATCTTCATTCATTCCTAAATAACGAATCATTCTTATCATCATCCACCCAACAATTTCTTTTTGCAACTATTTACATTATCCTTTTACTCACAAAAATGTATATCTATTATTATCTCAATCGACTTTCCTCAATAGTTATCACTATCATAATTTTGTTATTATTATCGATTTGCATAAATATTGGTGACTACAATGAAATGAGAAATTAATCAACGAGAGAATGTATTCAAAAAGGAAGTGATCAAGAAGTTGTTGTTTAATGTGTATGCGCAACGGGCAGATGTTCGCCAGACAAGCCGAAAAAGCAGATGGCAATCGGGAAGGACGCATATAATGAGGAGCACATAGATGTTGTGATTTGGGGTCGGGGTCGTTAAACTAAAAATCATTTGCATTCAAACCTCAAACACAGGCATACATCTCATATCCATCTTTTATTGCATAAATTTCCAGTATTTTACCTCCGCCATCAGCATTACCACTATAATTATTAATGCTCGAATGCTACGATAATAATTTAAAACTAATATAAATGAAGAATTCTCCACCATCCTCTTGACACAACTGAAATTCGTCGAAACTTCACGACCAGTAATAATTAAGCAGTTACCTTAAAACTATGACGCATCATCACATCATTAGTTAACCTACAAACATAAACAATTTGCTTCGAATTTGGGACGATCAACACCATATCAATCAATATTTACATCAACTTTAAGTCCTCATCTTATCTCTTCCAAAAGACCACACCTCATTTCAGTTTCATTCAATTTTTTTCGAATTTATCAATAAGACAACCTATGGTCCAAGAACGAGTAGTTAATATCGAAGTGAAATGATAAATTGCATTGTTAAACAAATAATGAAATAAGCCATCAGAGATAAACGACCTACACCATAATTGTATTGTTTTAGCAATTGATCTCCTCGTCAATATAACAAGAAGACAAATAGATAAACGAATAGATTCACGAAAGACAAATGTGTAAAATTGACTCCATGAGCAGCGAGCAGCAATCTGATGCATATATTCAGAAAGCGAATCCACTCACTCCACAAGAATTCGGACCATCCTGTTAGAATTACATTCTTGTCATACAGAGGAGATCTTGAGCTGTGAGATACTTTGTAGATTGTTGACAAAAATGCTTGACTACACGGATCAACCCGTATCTCTTAAAGTATGTTGTGTGACAAAATGTGCCATTAATTTTGATTTCATTATTCGCTCCATATTTCGTGCACTTATCATACGTCTGTTCGATCGAAAATATGTACTGCAGAACAGTGTCCTGCTTAAGTAGGTACACTATGGTGCAGCATAGCCACATTGTTCATTGGTACGGCAAAAGAAAGACGCACTCTAGGTTACAGGATAAAATTTACCTACATATACAAGAAAGGAGACTTTCCGGCTGGGAAAATGAAAGGGAGTGGGTGGAACACTTTCAGAATTTTGTCGTTTCTACACCTGAACGATGGATGATCTTCTTGAACGATAAAGGCGCATATTGGTTCAATTTCGACCTTAAACTAAGTCTGGCCAAATGACATGCTGCTGTCCGTTGGAACCTTATGTACAAAAAAGGAGACTGTCCGTAAATGGAACAAATTTTCATTGAAAAAATATTAAAATCTAGTTTTATGACTGTTCCTAAGATTGTGCATATGCTCTTTTCAACGGGTTTTCATCATTTCAGGAAAGGCTGTTATCCCGAGAAACTGAAAACTTGCCAGAATCATAATCGGGTAGCCGACCCGACCTAACTTTCATTGAAAATTCGGTCATTGGCTTTGAAAAGCAACAAACGTAGTCTTTCGCATTGCTGTTCAACCATGTATTGACATTAAGCGAATAAACCTCATTTCTAGAGCAGAACCGTCTCATCATTTTCTGGAGGAGTTGAATTTCCCAACTGATCTTATGTCTTCGAACATCAACTATGATTGCGGCTGAGAAACTCTGTCCTGATTTCATAAAGGGCAGTGTTTCTCATGCTTGGAAATTTTCCGGTTTTGCAGCGAGGAATCTCGGAGGTTGAGTAATCTTCGACTACAGCTCAGATCGCGAAAACAGTTGCTATCAGATACAAACTGTAGTCGATGTCGAATGGCACTGCAATTGATGAGGTCAGATTCATTCCTTGCAGTGGAAAATTTTGTGACAGATTTTTAAAATCACTTTACCAAGTGTAAGGAATAGGTTACGTTGAAACTATAAGAGACTTAAACCGAGTTCAACATATTATGACCCTTCTCAAATATTTTCCGGCAAACGTGAATAAGGAGTATGGAATGAAGATCTTCTCGCGGAGTCATGTTTCATTTCGAATATTATTATATATCTGGATTGGTGGTATTTAAAATAGCGTACTTATGCGATCAGCGAACAAATCTGGCTCAAAAGCAGTCGTGGACAACAGTTTTACTGAAAGGTCTCAACGGATGAGATTTCTTAGAGACTTGTCATGATGGGCAGGACAAAAAGTCATGAAACACATTAGGTCATGAAACCTATCTAAAATCGTAACTCCATTCAAATGAATTCTGACTCAGTGTTCGAATGACTTTGATCAGCTAAAAGTTATTCGTTTGACATACTGAGTAGGCTCCAAATAGATAAGAAAGGGATATTCATGATTGGAATCAATGTCTACTCCATATGATTATGATGATGTCGTAGAGTTTATATTTTAACAAATGGATTATAATGCATGTATTGTACTAGCTGATTCCGGTACATGAATCTTGTAGTGCTGAGATCAAGTTTTTTTTTAAAAATCCAGTCGTATAATTAAATTTTCTCAAAGATGGTACTACTTTTACAGAACTCTATCAAAATCTCGTCTGATTTCGGCAAAGAAGACCAATGATCGACGTGAGGTCAAAGATGACTCCAATATTGAGGAAAATTTTTTTTAAACGGTAGGGCTAGTCGGTTCCACAACGTATCAGCAGTAATGCTATAACAAGTCTCCTGATTCGCCGTATTTCTAAATGAGAATCAATTACCTAACAATTTTAAGGAAAACCCAAAAAGTTGTCCTATTATAAGTTCAAAAACATATCGATGATGTGAAAAATCATATCAGTGCTCAATATCCTAGAGAAAAATTGACGTTGAAATCATTTTATCAAAATTTTCACTGGCATTCAATGTATGTTAGGAATCATATCTCATCAATATCGCTCCGAATCATTTTATGACGAACTTTTTCAATCCTACAGAAATTGCCGAATGGAGGGTTCTGTTATTATATGATCGATGTGTGATGATTCAAAAAGTATTTTGATATAATTTGATTAATATAATGCTTGTCTCTGGCTTGTGGAATTCTTATTGGTTTAATGCAATGCAAGTTTTTGTATTTCTACTTCAGAGTGATCATGAACTAATCATGCTTGGATAAGTCAAGAAGTATTCGCATTTTTATTGCTACATACTCACACGTTCGTCTCACCGACTTCTGCATACTCTTGCGTATTCTCAATGAAAGTGTGAATTTTGTCAGGTGGTTTTTCCTGTTATTGCAAAAAATTGAGACAATTGTTCAGTGATTTAGCAATTTGCATGGAGGATGAAAAAAAAAGAACTGGTCACATTTGCCAGACTGAAAGGCACGGGCTGACGTTACCTCCAATACAATATGCTGACGATATCAGAAATATGCAATAGGGAATGATAAAATCGAATAGTGACATGACAACTTAAAACAGAAAAATCGGATCGCCGTTATTCCTAGCATTTCTGTGTAGAGTTGCATAAACGTTATTGGGTAATCAGATATGTTGCTGTTATTTTTGATGATGATTAGCATGCAGTTAAATGATACTGATAATGTTTTATCACTCATTCGTTTCTCACTTCAAAAATACATCTTCATCTTGTAACTATCTGCTTTTGAGTCAATGTTTTGTGAAGAATATTGTAACACCTAAGAAGGAAATTATAGTTCAGTAAGTTGCTGAGGTTTTGTTTCATTCAGTTGCTTCATTACAACAAAATCCATCCATATTATTACGACAGCCGTGTGAGTAGCACGCTAATTTTCCGTCGATATCTTCACACTGCATCGTAAAATTTATTTTATTTATAAGATTCGTGAAAAACAACTTTAAAGATTAATCATATCAAACAATATTACAACTGATGCAAATATGAGATAGAGTTATATCCCAAATCGCTGAACTATTTGTCTCTTTTCACAATATTCTCGTATCATTTTGCCACTCGAAGTTGAAGTTTAGCAATGTTCTAGGTTCCTATGAAAAAAATTCACAAAATAGTAGCGGTTTTTCAATATGTTCGTTAGAGTTCAATGAAAAAATATCACAGCAAAGGACAATTGGTTCTCTCTTATTAATCATGCATTCATTTAATAATTTATATTCGTTGTTCTTCATTTGAGCACATGCATCACTGGACGATTGGAGATGAAATATTCGTGGGTCGATATTGTAAATCAATTGCCTCACGGCTATCGTACAAAGTCGGTGCCTAAACAGACTGGTTGATTAACGATTGTTTGTGATTTTTAGTTGGTGAAAGAGAATTATTTGTGATTCAGCTTGAATGCGTTGAAAGTGAAAACTGAAAGACAATATTATAATGGAGAGATATTGACCTGTAATAAGATTGTTACCGTTCCGAGGAAACACGCAAAAGAGAAAATCATTAAAAACAACCGATCAAGAACCATTGCAACGTATTTCCAGTCTTCATCAACCTCAAATAACGAATGTTCATTCAGCAATCAGTTCCGATTACTCTGACTGAGCACATGAAATGACTTGTTCAATGATGAGATTCGTTATTAGATTCAAATGAATGATAGTCACTGATTTGAACAACGAATGATAGATTTTAATAAGGTATTGATTGAATAAGATGCGATAGAACCTTATCATCACGATCCTTCTTCTTCAACAATTCGGCGATAAAGCAAATATTTTCAAACGCCTTTACAACAGCTGGTGAATAGTAAAGTTTTTGAATGCGTTCATCAACAGGTGCCATCGAGCGAACACATTCAGAATCCCGACTAACGCGGTGCTCGTGATAGTTGATCGCTACTTTTTCGCCTCAAAATTTATTCGATTACAAGTATATATTCTAACACTGGATCAATCAAATGAATCACCTCTAAAGTACGCTATGAAGAACTCTAGAATAAAGAAGCACACAATGAATCTAACAGTTATCGCCACGTCGTTGACTCACTCGTCGATGCGAATCATCTGATTCTGCGACTGGACGTCTCATGAATAACACTTCAGGCAGAAATTTTAAGAAAAGCCATTTCACCCATGCAGGCATTCGATGTGTTGTTGGCGTACGAAAATGAAGATTCAAAGCTGTAAGATTATAATTTAATCACACTGATCAATCACATTAACACATGATGACTCTATCCTGTTTTTAACTCAACACAACTTAAGCATCACTCCGAAACAATCGAAAGTTAAGGTTGCTAACTCAGATGCTAATTAAGTAACACCAATCAAGTAATTAAGTACTACTTTTCAGAAGATATCATCTTTGCCGATTACTTCCTCGCGGATCCTGAGATTATCCACCAAAATAGCATCGAAAATCCAACGTAAAGGCTAGACTGACAACATCTCAATGATATTCTAGATCAGTTGTTCAGCTACTAAATGCATTTTAATAAACTGATATGGATTAGAACTGTATGCTAACTAACAGATAACAGTAACAATTACACTGAGGGTGACCATAACCATTGTGAAGAGGAGGTATTTTCCGATCAACGGAAGACTTATGCTTGTCGCGGGTATGATCTCGGTCTAAAAGAATACTTGGCATAATTTATCAATTATGGTTTACGTTACATATAAGAGCTGAGGAAAAAATAAATTCATCATTATTTTTCATTAATCTCAATTGCTTCAAAAACACTCGGAAATTGCGTTAATCATCTTGAGTACGAAAAGATGAATACTTTCGCTTACCAACAGCAAGAAGAAGACGGTGAGTGCGACCAAAATTGAAATACACAGTGTGATTTTTTCACCGCTATCGGATGGTAGATAGAAGACGAGGATAGTGAGAAACGATATGCCAACACATGGAAAAACCAAATTTACCGTATAAAATAATGGTTTCCTTCTTAATTCCAAATAATACTGCAATTTCATCTCATGAATGTACTTTCTGAATAAGCGAAAATAATAAATGACGGGCACTATGTTCGGAGAGCTCCTCAAAAATTCGTCGACCAATGAACTCATACTATTTGGAAAATTTGTTCGGCTGTAACATATCATCATAATATAATTCTGCAATCACCAGTACTAGGCACAACCATGATCTCGAATTATGTTACATAATGGCGCTGGATGCTAACTGTAAGCACGAGCGAAGGTGTCTTTTTTGGCAGTGAAATAAACACTTGAATTGAAACGAATACCATAATGTCAATATAAGCATCACTTAGGGGACAACAGCTTGGATAGTTTTTTGTTCTTCGTTTAGCCACTCTCGACATAATATCCCATTCCACCGATGGATAATAATCGGATAAGTCTGGAATTAACGGCAATCATTTTCAGAAACAACAAGGTCTATAACTGTATTTCAGCCACTGCATAATAAACACTTCCAATATCAGTGGCTCGCAAAATGTGAGTTTCTAGTTGAAGCACAACCCTAACTTGAAAATTCCACGTGATAGAATAGAACAGTTCCAAAAAAGGACGCGCAGAAGAGGATACAATTAGCTATAGCGTTAGCGATTAGCGGACCAATTTCGCTTGATTAGCGGATTAGCGATCAGCGCGCTAACTTTTTCCTTATGTTAGCATGCTCATCACTATAAATGTTCAAAAAATAAAAATAACACTATTATTTCTGCGTCGAGTGAATGAAGCGTAAAATGGGCTTAGTAGGTGCACTAAATTTTATCAAGAATAAATAGTCACTTAGTGGGTGTCTGTGGTCAGTTCGACTGTGCAATTTACTCCTCTTAATCTTGTGTTGTAAGCATGATTTTTGGTAAGGGCGAGAAAACTCTCGAGTTTCACGACGTCTCTCCATACATGGAAGCTTGAAAAGTATAATAGGTGACACTGAGTCGCTAAACTGACCGATACCATCTTCAACGATTGTAATATTGTCAATTTCTCCAAATTCGTTCGTTTCCAGCTCATACCGGGCGTCACCATCTAGCAGATCAAGCACAAGTAGATCTTCGGAATATGTCCATGAGCCAAACTGAAAGTTGATCACACTTGCATTTCGTTGTTCCTTCTTTATAACACAACACTGAGATATTATTCCTTTGAAATGTTTAACCTTAAGCTTATTCAATTGACCAGACAAAAATACTACAGAATTTTGTGGGATAAGTAGAGAGCATCGTTACGATTCGAACAACGAGAAATATGTTCGTCTTGAGATGTTGTTTAAAAATGCGCACTTTGTGACCCTCGCAAACGCAACACTGTTTCATGGACCACCCATTCAGAAAAAGAATCGATTACAAGTTGAATCTCAATTAGGGTTTGCAAAATCCCGAAGTTTTTTCAATCCCGGGATCGAACAATTATTGAAATATCGATGCGGGACATGTTTGAACACATTTTTCCGAACCAATATGTTCATTATCAATCAGAAAGAAGCTAATTCAACAAATTATTGAACAAATCCAAGGAACTAACGATAAGTATTCAAATTCAAATTAATATTTCATATAATGATGCTAATGATCATGTCGCAAGGGCATACTGCATATTCTATGCTAAGGCATCTTGTCATCTCGAGTCTGAGCTAATAACAGTACACTTGCATGTAAATATGAAATATTCTCAAACACTTATTTGCAGTGCTTCAAGTCCATTTTCTCTCAGTATTGACGTCAGGTGAATTCTACCATTTCGGAAATTTCGATTTTTTACGAAAGAAATGCATCGCATAAATTATATCATTTGAATTTTGAAAAAATCAAAAATTCAGAGTTTATCTAAAAAGTGAAAAAATCCACAGTGGATATTCATCGAACCATCGAGCACTTGCATGTTTGATAATTTCGATCAGAAATCATGGAATTGTATCTGATAGTTAAGCTTAAGATCCTTTTGAATGGAACAATTTTCCTCACCTCGACAATGAATTCTCACTATGAGTGAACCCAGTGAAAAATAATGTACATTTCGATTGGACGAAAGTGTTTCCGAATAGCGAAGTAAAAAGAATTGCAGTCTTTAGAACATGCAGCTGGATTAACAAATGGAATATTGAAGCCGAAGAAATCACGTTAGAGGAAACGACTCAAAATTTCGTTCAATTTTGTTGCTCTTGGTTCTTATTAGAAAATGTGATTATCTCTGTTAGTCTACTTAGAAATGCATCCAGATGAGCGTGATATAAAGCAATGAAGAACAGAATAATCAGTTGAATATCCAATGAAATTTTACGTAAAAGTTCATCGAGCTGTCGTTGATCATGTCATTCGTCCAATTTGCGTCTATTTCCTTAGCTATTCATCAATGACAGAAGGCAAACAACAAAGATGACTGCATATGAATAAGATGGGAATGATTAAGGCTTGCTTCAAGATGAGCATACTATCAAAATTCACGCTAATTGACGTGTTTTATCAAATCCCGAAATCCCGTGATCGGGATCAGAACTGAAATCCCGGGATCCCATGATCCCGTGCAAACCCTAATCTCAATCGTTTAGGGAGTTATTACTGTGAAGCAAGTGAGTAAATAGTAACCTTCAAATGACACTTTTGTTCGTCAAATGGAAACCTGAAAATTTTAAATCTGTGTTACATCACGATTAGCATGTTTTGTGCACATATTTTGGTTTTTGATAATTCGGTGATCTCACTTCGAAAATTCATTAGTAGACCAAAAAGAATCATTTTGGCTGAATCGCTATAAATTCTTCTCATGTGCCGATAAACTGCAGTCTGAAACATACCACCTGACGTCAATTTGACACATGCTCTTAAAAATCGCTGGAGGTTCCCATGTGACCTCACCACTATGGTGCAATGTCGCTTTCGTACTGATCGTTATGTTATAATTGCTATCCGCACTGCAAAACTGAACTGATGTAATTAACCAAGTCAATCTTCAACTGTGTAAAATTTAACAACAGAAGAGAAGTGCAATGAAACCATGAACTAACTCACTTGTTATATAGAACAATATCAGGTACCCAAATCATTTCATATGGAACATAGAGAACGCTTACGCCTCCGTAATTCTTCGGATCCCATGACAACTTTTTATCAATCCATACTTGTTTCAGCCAAACGCTACATGTCATTATTTGATCGATTTCATGCTGAAATTCATAAATGGTATTATTTTCACGCTGTGGAACTCATTTCTTGAATGGAAATGAGATGTGAATGTGCGTAATACTTTCGATAAAAGCATTACATTTATAAGTGCCACATCTGAAATAGTTAGCATAACTGATGTGCAGAGTTGCGTGATCAATGCAAGATCACTAATATCAGAATCAGAATCTGGAGTAGAAAGGTACCCTGGTATCGGAATAAGGGGATAGCCAAAAATGAGATCACGAGGCGGGGTATGCAGGAAAGTCCGTTGAGAAAGAGTCATTGTGATAATTGGTGTGAATTTTTATTGGTGATGTTCATTAACAAGCTGAATAAATAAGTGAATAAATAAATAATAGTTACCACATCAATAATTTGTGATAAACGAAGCTTAAGTTTGATTATGATTGGCTCATGAGGTGACGGTGCCGGCCGACGATGCTTATTGTAGTTAACCATTAAATCATCATACAAACGTTTCGCATCCTCGTTGGCACTTATTAGTTGCACTTCACAAATTATTAACCCGAATAAGGTCAACAACAATAACTCAACAAATCTTTGCATTTTAATATACAGCTTGACGAATTGTTTGTTTCAAATTGACCAGCACATATGAATAATGCATTAGTGATCGTTAGTTGCCTATCTTCAAATTATCACAAATTTATTTCACCTGAAAATGTGATGTGCAAACGAAAGATAAACGAATAATTGTTCGCGAAGGAAAACGTCTGCTTACTGAAATGAGAGAATTGCAAATTTTCTATAACGGAAACATTTGCAATGAAAATGATTCGCATGACGAGCAGTTCGATCGAAAAGACTAAAGAATAAGAATCGAGGAATTTGAAATAACCCAACAAACAGAATACGCAATTGTTGGATTGAGAGATGGGTCTTAATTGAGACATAAGTATGTGATTTGAAGATGATGCGTCGCATCAATTTACTGCTGATGTTTGCTCGTGATAAAGCTTTGCGAAGCGTAAACCTACCACCTCTTTTTCTAATGCGCCTTAGGACTGCTTCCTCTAACTAACACATCCTCTCTATAAACACCGCTATGCTGCTGGCCATCCATCCACTCATTTACTTAAAACAATTCTAATCGATAACATTTTAATCCTCTGCAATAGTAAGTCTTTATTCCGTTCATTTAACTAGCAACTCAGCTGGGCAAGAAGTATGCGTGGCCCTTTGATGTGAACGCTTCAAATATCGTTTATTTTGATCGGCATCAAAATAAATCAACGAACAATTTTACTTCAGCACCACGGTCAACTTAAAAATTGCCATTATAAGATTAGAGAACCTGCGTTGAAATGATAAAATGCGATGAATTTTCCAAAAAAATCTTCACGTGATCTTTTCGACCCATGCCGTTGGGCCTTCATATTGTTAACAACATGGTCGGATAGAGTAGATCATTCGCTCACTCTCGATAATGTGCATATCACACTGTTCATTAACATTTGCAGTCTGACCTTTCACGCAAAACTCTAACAAGTCTTTATTGGTTCATTTACCGAACGTGAAAGCCAAAAAGCTAAAACATGGATAAGGAGTCAAAGCATTAGTCGTACAACACTTTTACTCGCCATCGAAGTGTCGGCTGTACGTGCCATATTTTATTTGACAGTTAGGTTCAAGCTTCTTCAAGGTACAACGTGATTCAGACAACTAAAAACAAGAACAATTTATTATCAAAATTCAAAATTTGAGTGGCATTAAATTTAATGCTTCATTTCATCAATTTTGACGATATTGTATATCATCATTTGTCAGATGCCAAACCAAACAAATGAATTAGAAAGTTGCTTCTGTTATTATTAATATAGCATTTTATGCAAGTGAATGGCTTTACATTGAATAAAACATAATCAAATTACACGTATGCATTATACACAAAAAACATCCTCGAAAACAAAACGATCGCTAAAGCTTTCCGAAAACTACATTGCTACTATCGGAGGATGAGAAATTGCTGCTGCTTATTTGTAGATGGACGAGATCTATTTTTAAGCACTTTCTGATATCTCTGCTGGTGGTTTGTCGAGCATTTTTGCATTCAGACGCATCGTACCCATATCGATGGAAAGCTGCAATAGTTTGGCATGAATCTTGATTGACCAGGTTTTGTAACGTTGCTGACCACAATGCGTTTCCTTATTGTTAGCATTATTTTAGCCTTAATCGACGCCATCACGCTGGCTAGGTCACATGACCACTCATCAACCGAGTAATTGATGAGTTGCCGTAAATACAAAATCTAGCTGAACATCAGTCCAGCAAATAATCATAACTACAATGAACATTTTGCCGTTTGCCCAGGGCGATCGGCAAAACAAACGTGAGTGCCCAAATAACAGCACGAAAATACTGTGTGCAATTATCAGACTGTCGTTAATCGTTTTCATCAGGCTAGGTGAAAATTACATTGTTTGGTTGCGTGAAGATGCTAAGCGATAACGAGCGAGTGAGGTATAAAAACGACAAAAAGTCGGTCAGTAAACTAACAGCATCATCGGTTGAGACATCAGTATTTACCCAAGCATAGGCAAGAGGACGATGCAGCTGAACACTGAATGTACCTGATGTGATCTGACCTATTCGCTGAAATTAGTTACAGTTTATGACATGCAAACATAATATGGGTCCGAAACGAATATGAGGCACTACGGATAAATTCTATTTCTTTGATGTAGTGGTGTGCAATAGCGCGCTATTCGCTAACGCTATTCCGCTACTAGCGGAGACACTTTTTTCGGTAGCGCGATGACGCACTACTTTTTCACATTGCGACTAATTGTAGCAATGAATTCCGCTATAATAATTTTTAACGGTATAAAGTAGCGAAAACATGCGCCTCGCTACATTTCGTCTGCAAGAAAATGTTTATTTTTCCCAGTATCAAGATATTTAAAATATACGATTGCGCTATAGCACCAGCAAGTGTTCAATTCAGACTCATCGTACTTAACAGGTTGAAGCTGAACAGTCAGCCAGGCTCCGAATACTTACTGTGAGTGCACCACTAGCGTTACTCCAACCTCATTAAGCTGTGTGGTTTTAAACAAGTTACGTGTTAGTACAATGATGTTTTTTTTAAAACTTTTGTTCTCGTTAGGAAGGGATATAAATGATATTTATTTGCATAATCATATGTGCAGCAGTGTTCGATGCAAATGGTTGCAATATGGCGGATATACTGTCCAATGTGCTGCTCGAGAGGGGAGAAAGGTTGGGGAAGTGAGGAAAGAAATCAGATTTACTAAATTATCATACAATGAGTCAAGTGATACCTGAATCAATACAATGGGAATGAATAAAACTAGGTGGCTGAAGTAACTTCTTCTTTAGATTTCTCCACCTTCTCTTGTCATATAGTTAGCGTGATTTTAACACGGATATGAATCCGATTTCATTTGGTGCAGTAGATCGAAGTCTGCATTTAAATATTCAGAGTAACTGTGAAGAAAAAGTGTGTTCGTAGAGTAGATTTCAGACTCTAACGCTTTTATTTACGAATGAAAAGTTTGTAGTTTAATTTGCAATGTTTGACAGCGAGTTAAAGGAATTATTTTGCCGGATTCGTCCATTACTTGAGGAATATTCGGAAAATTCTTCCATTGGGAGATTAAACACACGTTGAATGATGCTGTAGGCTGTGAAGAGATCAATATAAAATCTTCGCAATTTTAAAGTTTCTAACCCTAATATTGATAGTCTCTCCTGGTATTTGAAAATCCTATACTGTCTCTTGAAAACGAAACATGTACATCTTCTTTGAAAATTTCTAACGACATTTAACGACATTCATCACCTTATGGATCAAAGGGATACCGAAGGCAAGAGGCATATTCTAGGACGGGCGAACTTAAGTTATGTATTTTGCTTAGTGGGGATAAGATTTTGAAGCTGAACGATCTCAATGTAAGAGATGCTCCGATGTTAGCTTTCTTAACTATACTGAAAACATGATGATGAAATTTAAAATTTGGATTGATTATGACTCCTTGATCTTGGATGAATGAAGAGGGGGTTTATTCTAGGTTCTGGACGTTGATGAGATTCTTGGGATTGTTTGTACCAATTCTAATCAATCTTGTTTGTTCTGGAACTAGCATAAAAGCCAATTTGATGACTACTGGTTATGAAATTAAATTTAGCTTGTAAATTATTGGAGAACTTGAAGACCTTAACTGAATCATATTAAGCCTGGAAGAAGGCTCTCTGGAATACACTGAATAAAAAGAAGAAAGTGAAGGGGTCACTGAACGGAACCTTGAGGAACACCGCTGCTAATATATTCTGATGGATTGAATGAGTCAGCAACTTGAAATAATTGAAAAAGGCTTGAAAGAAAGTCTCGGATCCAATTAAACAGACAACCTCGTGTGCCATATGCTTATAATTATAAGGATAATTTAGGTATGGATAACAAATCAAACGCTTTTTAAAATCGAAATGTGTAGTGTTAGTGTAACCTCTCTTGTCTAATTGAGATGTCCAATTTTGCTAGGATCAAAGTAGAACCGCAGTGATTGATCTCTTATCGAAGAAGCCACATCAGGGAAGGGTAAACAGCTTTTTCATTGCAAATTAGTTTCTCAGTTTGGCTGCAATTTTTTTTCCAAACTTCAAAAATCGAGCAGGTTAATAGGATGGGATGGTAGTTTTGCGGATTCATTTTAGAATCTTTTCATCATATAGGTATGATGATCGTTGATTTCAACCATAAGGGAACTGATCCAGGATGCAGTAGAAATCAAACGATCCAGAATTTCAGCCAAAATGCTCAGTGAGTTGGTTCTTAAAAGAGAATGAGAAAGTGCAATATGGGCTATTGGCAGTATGTTGCTTTTCATTTTTGAACTTCGTTGGCATCTTTTGGTTATTTTGTTATTGTTGAAGTTTGTTTTTCTCATGGACTGGTGCTTATTGATGGAATAATTATCTGCTGTTGAATGATTCAGTAAAAAATTTTCAACTGTTTAATGGCGTAATGTTGTTTTTTTTTTCCATCCAAATAAGCGGTGCAATTGTAAACTTTGAGGGAAGATTTGAAAATAGGAATTAGCGGGCTAATTTTTGCTAAATAGCGTTTTAGCGAAATGTGCCGTTAATTGTTCCGGTTGACGACACTTTTGCTGAGAAGTTCCCACTACGGCGAATTATTTCTAGCGGAACAAGAACATTTTTTCTGCGAATTAGTGATAAGCGGAGCTACTTTTTTCAGTAGTGTGCGCTCATTATTGCTCTGATGCATTCAACTATTACCAACTAATCTATCAACACGTTCCAACCGAACTGTTATAATATTCGACTATCAACTGATTAATACCTCTTCGGCTCCTTGTTTTCTCACGACTTCCTTTCCTTTCGGTACGCTCTCCCAGTCTTGACCTTCTTTTAACGGGTCACCTACCAGCATTGCCTCGAATATTAAATCACTTTTAATATTCTTTGCAAGATAAGGTTATGAACAAATGTAATCATAAGAAAATAAATCAATGCAATAATAGCAACCAATTTTCGATTCCATTTTTTCTGCGACAATTCCACCGCAGATGTCTTCCCGATGAAATCTTTCTTGTTGAGATCAATCAAGTGACTCAGTCCACATTCGAATGGATTCGTGTCAAGTGTTAGCTGAAATCTTCCAACCTTAAAATATTGTGCTCAAAAGTTAATGAACAAGGTCAAATTTTCGGGAACAGAGTGTCTCTGAATCAACTTAAAACGAAAGTTAATGAATAATAATGAAAAAATTTGAATGAAGCAACCTCCCTTCCCCAGAGTTTGAATCCATGCTCCAGTCTCATGATGTTTATAACAGCTTGTCCACTATTCGTGATACCATACCGTTGCCCTTCTCTCATTAAGGTATTGTATAAGCTCAATGTATCGGCTCTAAACTTTTTAGTGTTACTCAAAAATATTACTGATAAATTATTAAGGACTGAATATTTCGTAGATTGACTGAATATTCGAGAATAAACGATATAATTATTAAGGAGACTATCAGCGCGATCAAAAAACGAAGATAATCAACTGCCACCTATTATGAAAGAGTTCAAATGAAAGTTGTCCTGTAAGAGTCGAAGTTCGAGCAACGATCGCAGGAACATTATCTAAGCGTAGCAACCTTGTAGAACGATGCGCAAAACCTTTGGAAGATATGTCCGATTTGGTGAGTCCTTGCAAAAGCTGAACAAATTTATAGTCAGTTGTCTGTAATACGAACAATGCAGTCTGCTATCGAGTTAATGCGATACATTCCAAAAAGAGCACATACATTACGACTTTCTGGTCCAACAAGTGCCAAAGATGCTAAATATTCACCAACAGCAGTAATTTGAACGTTCATTTTAAGATCCGCAGCTGCTTTCTTTAGCCAATACAAATCACGCGACTCACGCTCAGGATCAGTAAGCAGAATGAAGTTTGTCCTGAAATGTTAGTGAGAGAGAAGAATAAATGTGGCTTCACTGAGAAAATGAAATAAAAGCTTGACGGACTTGTACTGGTCGTGATGGAAAATTGTAAATGGAGCGAGAATATGCCCTTTGCGTGTTAACATAAGACTCGAAGTTATTGAGCCAAGTTCAGGTACTGCGTTCGTCATTATCTGGTCCAAAAACGCTATCGAATCAGGTCCACGCACCTAGTTGTTCCATATACATTACATTTCACAAATTATGATGAAGAAACGTCCATTTGTATTGATAATAATACTTCGTGATACTTTTAGCGACCGAAATAATCGTTTATTTCTGAACCTAGTGCATTACTTCAATTTCCGATATTGTTAAGTAAAAAAAACATACAAAAAATTAAGATGTATCAACCTCAATTTTTCCTCGCCATGTCACATCAACAATTGTGCATTTGGTGGTGGCAGTCTGATATTCTCGGATCATTGTTTGTAGAGTCGTTTCGTTGGGTAATGCAAACCATTGCGCTACCTTCAAATGGAATGTAAGCTGTGATTATGCGCCTCGCAAATACTGCCAAATGCAAACATTATGTATAGAGAAGTTATGATAAAAATCGTACTTCCCATCCGTTTCTGAAGAAGAACGAAGCGCCCTCCTTGACAAGACGAGCGTAGATACCGCTAACGCGTTCAGTTGGTCGACCGGCCGGTCGGTTCGTATTTGACCAGTTGTAGTACATTGAAATTGTTTCCCGACTTTTCTCAGCGATGAATTTACGATTTGACCAACGGTCGAATCTGAATAAGGTTTGATTTTTGTGATGACTCTTTACACAAACAAATCCACAAAATATTTCTTTCAGTGAAGAAGCCAAGAACAACAAGCTCTTGTTTTCAATGGCGTTCTGTTTAGAATGCAAAGCGATTCGAAGAAAATGTTTCGGCACTAGTAATTTTCACATAGAATCTGTTTCTCTTACGCTAAATCATACCTATTTGGGTCTGCATCGAATAGTTCAGACGGTGGTTCACCATCAACCATCCAGTCTGCCAAATATTTTCCAGTGCCACCACCACCTGAGACACCATCTGTATAACCAGTCTACAAAGCTGCCACTATTTTTGTTTGAAATCATCAACGATTAAGAAGAGCAATAGAATAAAAACAACAATGTCAAATTGAAACACCGAAAGAGCATCAAATGAATATCTTTTTGCAATGAACGAGTTGCTGCTTCAAGACACTTATTTTTGATATATTAATACAAAGCCGTTACTTGCAACCAATAATTCTGCTTCCAATCAATCGGCCCAATCAGTGGATATCCATCGGGTGTCATTGCAACCGCATATGCAAACGGTTCAACTGCTGCTCCTTTCAGACTTGGTATCAACTCACATGCTATCTTGTGTGCACCGTCAATACGCTCAAAATGAGGTTCCACTTTGGCCTCTGAATAATGAACTGAACTGATATAAAACACGCATCTCAAATCTTGTACAGGTTTACTGTGCTCAAAAAGATAACTTCGCAGCCAGAAAAGTACTGAATGCTGTTACAGGTCTTTCGAATGCCAAACAATTCCACAGTGGAGTAACTTTGAAACGATTTTATGTTTCGAAAAAAAAAACAACCTTTTGGCATATTCACTGTCCAGTCATCTCTCACCATCGATTGTGAGTCAAAAGCACCGAAATAAAGTTTATCACCAGTTTGACGAACATAAAACGTACTATCATGGTCGATTATTGATGGTAAGTTTTCCAATTTGCCTACCTGTAAAAGCGAGAGATGGATCCTTTTTAATCCTTCTCAAATATTTCTTACGCTAACCAGAAATTATCGCTCGAATCGGTTCATTGCTTAACAAGAATATCATTTCTTGACTTTCAAAACAAATGAGTTTTTTAACCTTATGAGCGGATGAACATAGCCAATAACATATTCTTCCTTCATTTTTGTTGAACGCATTTAGAAACTAGATTTTAGTTGTAGGAATGGAACATACCTCGGGCAGCGGTCCGATCCACGCATACTGAGTTTCAATATCAACCAGCGCTGTTTCATAAGCAGTTAATTTGGCAACTTCATTTGTCCATATACCTGCAAACAGACAAATCAGATTACTATCACTGATTGGTGACGAAAGCAATGTCCAATAAACGAAAGTTACCAACACATACTGATAGAGAGAGTAGGGGAATACTTTTAAAGAAATGACTTGTTCTTATAGGTGAAGTGAGGGTGATGAGTAAAGGAAGCACGTACCAGCAGCATTAACAATATTCATCGTTTTGATCTCACGTCCGTCTTCGAGCTGCACAATCCATTCACCATTCTCCTGTGCGATAAGCTTGAATGACGCACATTGCTCCACTATTTTTGCACCACCATTTTGAGCCCCTCTAGCTAACGCCATTGTTAATGCTTGCACATCAATGAAACCATCACCACTTGTATATAACGCACCCAATACTTTTGTTGTATCAACGATTGGTGCTAATTTCTTCACTTCATCTGCACTAATCAGTGTTGTCTTGCACACGTCACCCTTCTGCAATGATCAACTTCAGTCACAATCTGCAGTTAAAATAACTGATATAATCAGCACACGAACTTACTTGAAAATAATCGCGTGCGGTATAACGACGGAATTCATCCATCACACTCTGTTTTGTTGCCAGTTGTATGGTCCCGGGCCGACTGAATGAAACATCCTGGAACAAATAGAAACAGCCTCACCTTTCAAACTCAGTAAGAAATTTGCAAGTGAATTTAATTGCAAGTTGAATACAAAAAAAATCACTCTCTCAAAAATTTAGAAGGAAAAAAATTGTTTTACTGAAATCTTATCGAATCAAATAAGCACAAGCAAAAATCTTCGCAATTGAATCTTGAGAGCGAAACCTACCACGCCAGTTTCGTTACCAATTCGGCTGTACAAGTCCACGGAATAGGCTAAGATTGGCTTATACCTATGTGCAGGATGTCCCGAAATAACCAGCCCCGGCTGAAAATAGATTTTTCGATAGATTCTATAGGGCTAACGGAATTGTTGTGCTTCAATTTTTCAAATCTGGAATTCATTACATCTATTCATATGCGTAACCAGGATTTTCTGACGAGCGACATTTATAAAGTACTTTCCACATTTTGCCGAATATTTCTATATTTTTCGTCACCGGAGTGGAAGCCGCACTTCTCATCGGAAAACAACACTGCATCTGAAAAATGTTGTGGCCTCTCAACATTTTGCAAAAGGCCACAACCGCGAAGAGAACGCCATAGACAGATTGAGCAAATGCGGGCTCTGAATGCAAGCTATGAAAGCTTCGAATTTCCATTAGCTGTTCGCTTATGTGTTGAAAAAATAGTCATTGAGAACTGGAAAAACCATTAAGGCCCGTAATTACGATTAGAGAAAAATACACACTAGTGACGAGATATACAAAAGCTGAGGCTGGAAGATTTGGAAAGAGAAGGCATGCCGCTCAACGGTTCGACATGACATATTCGAAATACTTCAAATCACAGAGCAGCTTAATCGCTGCAATTAATTAATCCACATAACATCGTCAATGGTACTCAAAACTTAAATTCATGCTTTCACGAAGTAATAAGCAAACTCAAGCTAATAACGTAAATTCGCATCGATACACCACATGAAAGGCTTAGAGGTGAGGGTATGACACCTTTGGTCGCTTATTTGAGAACGCACGTTTGCTTAATTACTAGGTATTATATTTCAGGAAGTAACAAACCAATTGTCGTCCCGAAGTAATGGTTTGTCTCTCAAGCACTACAACCTCCTTTATATTGCGCTTCGCTAAGTGGTATGCAAGTGATGTACCGGGCACACCTCCACCAACTATAACTGCGAATGCGTCATGAGGAAGATCACTTGCTAATCTATAATATTAATGAACCGTTTGAATTAATATATTTTGTCTGATCACATGCAACCAGTCTGTATTGTTGAGCAACAATTGAAGCAAACCTCGTTTGTAGTTTAATCGGGATGCATCTGCTCCGTTGTGCACATTTCAGTGCTCTCAGCATTGCGTCGATCCTTCAAAAGATTGCGATTCAATTATGGGGATTTACAACGAACATTATATATCGCGATGAACAATATCTAGAGTCAAATAAAAAAGTCTTGTGCAAGAGACATATATTTCAGACGATTGCATTACTGCTCTCAACTTGAAACGACAAAACACAATCATTTTAACATAGCTCAGAGGCTCTCAACCTGGGTAATATTGCCCAATAGAGAACGAAAATGACTATGCAAATGGGTGATTCTTTCGAGAACGTCGCTAGTAGAAGGAATTTCGATCCAGCGGGCGATTTTGGATTTCATGGGTTGTTGTACTGAGGTGGGCTTGAAGCAGCTTTCCGTTGCTGCTATCGTAGCGACTGCAAAAGAAACCTTAACTTTTGATTCTGACTACCCTCTTCCCACATACTGATTCACCAACAATGTTTTTAAACCAATGTGCGCGCACTTCATGTCAAATTTCAGCTAAAATCATACATGAGAAGTTTGCGTCTAGTGCTCGTAATTCTCACATAGTAAGGCAATAATCGCTGAGCAATGCTCCTTTTTTCGATATTCTCACTCCTATTTTGATTGCATCAAACAAACCAATTGTTTTCGATAGTTATATCATTATTCTAATCTTATTATTATTCTTTTTATTATCAACTGATTTCATTTTTCGAACTACTGTTCATACTGAAAATAAATCGAGTGTACAGCTGAAAGATCCGCTAATGAAAAAAGCGTGCTGCTGCCAATTCAGTGTAGAAATTATCTTCGTCATTTCTCACATATGGCAAAGACGAATGTTTCTCATGAAAGGATGTAATCAGTTTTTTTACGAATTACGCATTTATAATCGACTGTTTTCTAATGTTTAATATTCATGCTAACTCATCATTCACTTCCCTCATTCACAAATGTTCATTTCATCGCAACAAGTGTTATCAGAAGTAGAAAAAATGAACGAGGTTTGTGCAGAATCAATTAACACCGTGAAGTTCAGATGATTCGAATGATATTTAGGTGCGGTTCAATAATTATGCAATTCGGCATACATCTTTTCCGACTTACTTTCACCACATTAAATAAAACCGACGGTTAATAATAAAAATTTAGATCTCATTGGTGACCCCAACTCTATGCTAGTTGCTCCAAACACAATGCAGGATTGGGATAAATAGCTCGGAAATATCTAAGAAAATACTAAGTTGTTGTGAGGAAGAGCCGATAAGTAACGATCATCGATACAATTAAAAGGAACAAAAGGCATACAACTGTTGTTATGTTGATCAAAATCTCACAATCACTCATCAAGTCAGTTATAAGTGCTCTGAGCAATAAACTCAAAAAAATCAATGTTCACTTTATTCAGCGAGGGAATGCTAGACAAAACCTTGCCATACGAGGTTACTTGAAAGTTTTAGCCAATTTAAAAGACGTTTGAAAGCCATTAGAATCAAAAATTCAAATTTAATCAGTGATGCATTAGTGCAGTTTTCAGGCACATTTTGCAGGGCATTTTCTTCAGAAGTGTTCCGCATGAGATAAAGAGCACATAAACCAGTGCTCTTCATGTTGCAAATATTGAGACTGAATGCCAATCGCTAGCGCATATTAAGTCACACAAATACATAATTCAGCAATGGCGATAGTCACATACTCTTAAAGCAAGTAGGCTACATGAATAATGAGAGATAATTCGCGTGCAGTCTGCTGAGATAAAACAGAGATATGCAAAAATTTGAAGAGATAAAAGATTTGTATGAGCACATCTCCTGGAAATGCTTTGTATAGGTCTGATCAGTATAATGATAGATACATGCGCTAAATAATGAACCGCTTTGATTGTTACTTCAAGTTATTGAATTCGAAATGGTTCAATGAATTCGAGATGCCTTTCGTGAAGATTTTTTAATGCAAAAATTTCGAATATATTGAAAACAGAAGATGAAAAATAAAATTGTTAACGCTGAGAAAGTCGAACAATTCTTCAGTGTGAGTCGTACTCAACTAACTCACATTATGTTCGATAACCCATCGCAGCACAATCAAACTTTGCGTTCATTGCATCGGATTCTTCTTCAATTTAATATTTTACTATTATCTGCTGCTCCTCCCTTTTCCACTTTCTTTTCCTCAGCAAAGAATTACTGCAATCTTTGCATTTAACACCAACGACCAACAGCACCAATTCAACAAGAGGTTTGAAATGACCGGTACTCGGACAATTTGCCTAAAGACGTTTTGCCCAATGACAGTTTGCCTAAAGACAGTTTCCCTAACGGACAGTTCGGCTAACGGACAGTTTGCCTAACGGACAGCTTGTCTAATGCGGCTGCCTAATGTGCGTGTCAGATTGTTAGACGCAACCGTTCAGAACATGTTGGGAATGTTCATGTCGTGGCTATTATCGGAGCACCTCTACACATCGAAGCTGGTGATTTTGATGGTTCATTGTTGTCATTGATATTGTTGTTGTCCTTACTGCTATTGCTGTCAACGTTATCTTTATTATTTTCATTACTTTTATTGTTTTTACTGTTGTTATTACCATTTTTCTGCTTTTCCGATTATTTTATTGCTATTTTTGTTATTATTATAGGTGTTGTTAGTTATCATACGTTGTTACTGTTATGAACATATCCATCATCAGCATTTTACCTAATTTCATGTATTCAGACATGTATAATTAGTAATAAATATCATCTTTTATTGTTATGGGAAATGTGATGTGTATGCATCTAAACATAGTTCCTTGAAGGAGACTGCTGAAGCAAACTGTCCATCACGGGTGATAAAGATAACCTATTCTGTTAGGTACTCAAATCTTATTGATATTGAATTGATCTCAAAAAGTGACAAATAGATCGATAAATGTTGATAAGGTCCGCATTATCCAAAATGCAAATGCACGTCATGATAAGTCGAAACAAAAATGCTTCAGCAGCGGTATTTCTTACTGATTGCTGACTGGTATCAAGACGGTCACGTTGTTCATTTTTTATTTACCTCAAATTCACCAGTATTTACCTCATCGGCTCAACTTGTTAAACTGTTCAATCGTATTTTCCGTATTCCATTTGTTCATTAAAAAAGCAAAGCACTAGCCAATCGTTTCAGCTTGTTTGCTAGACTTAAGAAAACTATTAGAATGGCCAACTGTTCGAAAAGGCACAACTTTCTTCACGTATCTAAATGTAGAGTTGATGTGATTTTCCCATCAACATTACTGAAGAATATTTGAACAAACGGATGCTGAATGATTGTTGATATAGGGCGCATTCGATCACTGCTAGTTTTCAGCGCAGATATGCTAGCAAACAAACAGCTGAGCAAAGAAATGTTTTTTGATGGTACTATTATGAAAAAAAAAAACTACATGCTGAGCACCAGTGCTGCAGTGTTTGAGATCGAGTTGGATCAATAAGTGATTATAGTGAGAACAAATTGAATGTGCATGAGCTTGTTTTAATATGATCACTGATCTTTAGAATCGCTTCAAAAACTTTTCAGCGCTGAATAAATGACTACATCGCACCAGTATTTCATTAGTTTGAAAAGAATTGAGGTTTCAGCTTCTCGTAACAAAATGCAGTCAGCAAACAAGAGCTGCAACAAATTCTGTGACTGATTTATTGAAATGAACAAATCTTTATTACATTCATGTTGATAAAACTTTTATAAACCATGAAGATGTTTTACAGCCGTAATCAGTGAAACATAAATTATTTATTTACGTCACGTCAAAATTTTGACCGAGTCCATTTGTGCGCTAGAGTTCATCTTTTGCAAATGTAGCAGCTATCGCTGGCTCACCCTCAAGCACCTCGTCTGCTCGATCGTTTTCCTGAAAAAAATGTGAAGGAAATGATCTGTTTTTGCACCGTAAGACAGTTCTTAGTGTAATTAGTTGCTCGTGAACTTCATCTGAAACTGAGGTTGTCATCGAACTAAATGAATTGAACGGGCATGCGGAGTGAGAATGAGTGAAGCATCCAATTGAGAATAACCTGAACAGAAACAATTCCATCGTTATTGAAATCCAGTATCCAAGCTATTCCAGGATCTCTTGTTCTACCTTCAATCTTCTTATCTGGTTTGTTTGCAGCCATTGTGGCCATATCTCTTTCCATGACCGCACGAAACTCTTTCAGATCTACTTTGCCATCACCATCTGCATCGAAGTACCTAAATCGATCGACCATCTTTCTCGAATGCTATTAATTTAATAAAACAAAACCGAGTTCAGAACATTTTGCAAGAGCAGCAACCATTTTTTTACACAACAACGATAAGTTGTTATAGATGCGCTCATAAAACATATAAAGTCCTATCATATTATTACTAAGTGCAATCAGTACCCAATGATTTATGTGATGGAAAGTAAATGTCAATCATCAAGTTTAGCTGATGATGGGATCAATTTTTAAAAGAATATCATCCACCCAATTACAAAACCACTTGATGACCCAAATATGCTATTTTCATTTTGCGATAGTTCCACCCTTCATCTTCAACACGAAGGAACCGAACAAAACCAACAATCGCCAACGCTATCAAGGATTCAGTAATGTGAAAATAAAAAATAATAGCATTTTTGTGCATACTTGATATAATATTTCGCCGCTGTAACCGGATCAATATCCTCGTTAGTCCACGTCTTACCGAAATCTTTTTTCATCTTCTGTTGGAATTTCACTAGCTGAATGAATTGGGAAGTTTATTTCCGAAAATATCATTCTCAATGCTAATGTAATTGCATTCTTGGCGTCAACATTTAATCTATATTTGAGTGAACCTCAATTCAGGATATAGTGAACATGAAATATTACGCAGAAATTCTTGCGTAAAGACGGTTGGATTTTTCCAAGTTCACTTTTATGGAATAAACTCCAACGTGCAATTCAAAACTATTTCATCAGCTTGAATAGCATTGAGATTAGGTGGAAGGAAATAATTGCAAAGTGAATGAGTATCATGAGCAGAATGCGAATCGCTAGGAAATCAGCGAGTGTACCTCATTTTGTGTTAAATAACTGTCGTTATTCAGATCCATAAACTGGAACTGCAGTTCGTAAGACCAAGGTTCAACCTTCATCATTTCAATGTTAAACAACAGCCAGTGCTCATCATTCAAAATGTTCTTCCATGCTGCAGAAATTGCATTATTGTATAAATTAATGATAGCGATCGCGATATTGCATCAATTTGAGTAAAAAATATTCGATTCATGATTGATTAACACGAACCATTGAGAAATGAAAAAAAAAGATATAATTGCGTAAATAAAGAGGAAACAAAAGCAATGATCGCTTCGAATCCTACTTCTGCTTTTCCTCTTTCTACTGAGACGATACGGTACATGAATCTTTCTGAGCTCTGTGTCGCACATGCCACGAAGTCCTTTATCGAGTCCGGGCATAGTCATTCCAACTCCGAGTTGTATTCTAACCGGTCCTCGGCCATATGTTTGATCGAACTTTTTACCCGTCTCAGTGAAAGCTTTATAATGGAAAGTAACAAAATCCTTCCGCTTTGCGGCACGTGGGCATTCCACTGGTTGCCAGGTGTGCTCAACCTGGAACATTTTCAGTAAAGTTGCATAGCTTGATTTCGGGTTACTATTAGTTTCTATTTTCATCGAAATAAATCTTAAAATTTTGCCTTAATATCAAGCGGACCGCCGTTAGACGCTTCTTCAAGTTCTCTTATTTGGGCAGCAGTCATCGGTTTGCCTTCACCTCGTATTTCGACAACTGGAATATTATCCTCTGGACGTCGTTTTCTACCCAAATCAGAAGCCATCTTCGCTTCTGCTTCAACAACATGTTCCGATCCAACCACTGCAATTCTTTTAAGTTGCATTCCATTGAAAAGGCGAAATGCTAAGAAGCTATGATGAAACAACAGAACAAAAGCAACAGTTCTAATAATATTAATAGTAGTAGTAATAAAACAATATTAACGGTAGTAATGATATTGTCACCGATAAAAATGAGGAAAGTTCGTAAGAAGAAAGAAAAGAACACACCGAATTTAATAGATAGATATGTAGCAAGAATAAATGGGACGACAGCAAATCGACGGGAACGCATTGTTACGACTAATTGTTCGATGACCTTGTAAAAGCGATTGTTGTGATGCAGCAACGATGCAGTCGACACAAACACATTAATGCGCAATAACAAAAAACCAAACCCCGACCTGGTTTGAGCAACCCAAATAGGTCGGTAGGTGTGCGTTCATCTATTGCATGTGTGTACGTTCATCCAACAATCGATCATTATGCAGCTTTCTTATTTTCACTGAACAATACTTTGCGTTCTATATTATAGGAATGAATCTGAATTGATCATTCTTAACCTAATCGATTCATTCAAATCTTAATTTTATCATTTTTTCTTCGATTAGCACCAAGTAGAAGGATTTATTAAGATTAGGTTACGCTACTTCATTAATCTTTAACTTTATTGAGTTGAGACATGAATTCATTTCTCATTTACCTTATCATCACATAACAACCGTTGCTTTCCACAATTCACGAATATTTATAACACACATACTTGAAAATGCATTCAGAGTAGGATATAAACGTTTGAAACAACTGTATTATAGGAATGAATTATAGGAACGAAGAACGTTGTATAAATTTCAAAATTGATTGATGATGTACGTTAAGAAAACTATTTTCTAATTTATTTCCTAAGGATTACCATCTAAACGTTTAGTGGCATTCACTCACTCATAGAAAGTAGCAACTTTTAGTTAAAATGATATTGGGTTGGTGAATTTGAATTTGAGTCATTTAAATTAAAGAATAACAAACCGGAGTGTTGGTTATGATTATGTGAATGACCTTTCGCGAAGGCTCTTCAAAGATCATCATCATGTGCAAGACCTCATACATTCATGCACAATGAATCGACCTTCAAAGGTCATGCCAAACAGTTTCATAAAGAAATATTGTATCGACATAGATTGTGAATTGCTTTGAAAGAAGCGTCTTCGCAGGTTTCCAGACCAGCTCACTATCAACACTTCATTTTGCGAGATGACTCAATTTGAGCGTATATTGATCCATACATCAAACGATACAGCGTGAATTGAATTGAGAATTGGTTGTAAGGACTGGTTGAATTACTTTTCAAAACGTATAAGCAGAATCCATATCGAAGAGTGCAAAATAGACCTAACTGTGAATACTGCAATGAAGACGAAAATAAAATAGAAATGACACCAAAGAGGACGTGTTGTGCATTACTGAATGAGCACAACAGAACTTATTAGGAATCATTCATGAAAATCGGTGATTTTGTGAACCTCCTCCTTCCTGATCATTCAGATCATGCTTGACTACTCCAAGAATGTTTACTTGAACGTCCCAGTGATGTCTACTGCCCCTCTCGCAGATTCTTTTAAAACTCGTAGAAATGCGTGAAAATAACTCTCCTTTGAAATGAAGTCACTTCACACGCTTTTGAAACATCGTTCAGCAGACGATGTGATATTGGGTTGAACAGAGATGGGCACACTAACGAAAAAAGTTAGCGCGCTACTCTTATTCAATCACCAGCAGGATTTTTCCTTGTCCGATCATTCAAAACCGCGTAAGATATGATCAAGTGCTCTCGCACAGTTTAATGCGTTACACTTATGCCTAACTAGCAATGATACCTAGTAATGATAGAATGTAACTAGGAACAGCACTGTATTCAAACTAAATTTCAATGCATTGGAGCGTGTTCTCTTCAAAATCCCGTAGAACGAGATACAGCACTTAGCGATTACACCAACAATAACTGTGTTAAAAATGAATATGTCACACTGTTTCTGAATAAACACTTTTTTCGTGGAATTTTTGACTCATCTATGTCTAACATCTGTTCAATTTTTGGCACTCTACGTAGAGACGTTCAGATTTTCCCCGAATATTATTGTCGGCAATTGTCCACGGCTCCCCTCCTCTTGGCGCTATATGTGCATGACCTTTTATGACAAGTTTACTTCGAAACGATAGGATAACTTTATCATATTTATATTATTTATCATATTTATATTATTAAAGCATAAATATCAGAATGTGATCACTTTCAGCTCGAATATCATCACCGCATAATTCAGGCACTCAATCAACACCATAATTCGTTAGTTGCGTCTCTGAATGCTGCAAATTGTTTTTTTTTTCATATAACCTATAAACTTCTCTACGTAACAAAAATTTTGAAGGGGCTAACCGGTACGATATAAGTTACGTTTTTATGCGCCATTTGCCTTCTGAGATCGGGTTTGATCAGTGCTAAAAGAATGGTGATAATACGAGTATAATATTGACCACATAACATAGATATCTGCTTCAGTGGTGGTGGTAATCAAAGCAAATCACCACAGTGATTGAAAATGGAAAACGACTTACTAGTAAGAACGGTACCAACGAGCAAAAATATAGACAATGACAGATTACAAACAAAAATGTTCACTGAATGAATAATTTGACCCATGAACATCGTCAACAGAATACCGAACACCTGAAAAGATTAGTCCTAGGTTTCTTTCCTCTCAATTAATAATGGCCATCCTATCATCAAAAAATACTTCGAAAAGACTGGAAGTGTCGGCATGCTTATATGACATTATGAATTTCAAAATGAATAACTATTTTTTCTTTTTCGGATAATGTTGCACTTGTAGAATGCGACTGTTACGCTTCCATTCATCAAACTAACGCTGAATGCTTACTTGTCAGTTAGCGCTTAACGTAGCAATAATGTTCAACAATTAATCAGCCCAACAGAATAGCCATTTTACCAAAAAAAAAAATCGAACCTGCGCTGATGCATTTAACAAACCCGACGTTGTGCCTTCAGCAATCGGAAAGGTTACTTCGGCTGCGAATTCATAGCCAATAGGAAGATAACCGGTCATGAAGAATCTAAAATGCCGTTCATCGAACATAGCATTCGCTGGTTAGGGGATATCAGCCACAGATTACAAAAGTTCAATGCGAATTTAAACAAAGCAGGATATATATATTATAATAATAACCCCAAGACGGCTGCAATAATGAATATATACCACATATGACCGAGATCAATCGTAATTGTGAAAAGTAGCATACCAACAAAACTGAACAAATACACTACCACTGTGGTCAGCCTTAAAGTATTTTCATTTTCATTTGAAATATTTTATTTGAAACATTTCATTTTTATAAACAAGTATTTTCATCTGAATGAACTGTCAATTCAGAACAGAACTATTTTCAAATCGCATCCCAGAAATGCAAACACTAACTGCCATCTCAGCAATAACCTATCACATACTTATATCGATGAAACTTATCCAAAAGAATGCCGCACACCACAGACCCAGCCATTCCAGCAACAACAATTATCAGTCCGATTGTTCCTGAAACTTCGAATCACTTGATCAATGAACCTCTTTGTTCCAGATGATTCTCACCTGTATTTTCCTGTTCTTCAGGATAATAATGTAAAACCATTTGACTGAGCAGCGTAGAGACAGCGTAAAAAACACCGACATTCACACCTGCAAGAAACATTCTAAGTGAATTTCCGTTGCACCTCATCATTTAATCATCCACAAATAATTCAATGGTAGTTCTGGAAATAGCACTCACAAAACAGAAACAATCACATGATTTTACTTTATAAATCATTTTCCATACTTTAGATTTCATGATTGCAGACTTTGACAAATGAATCAGAAGAATTCGAAAATTTTTTGAGGAATTTCTCCACATAAGAATACTACGTTTTGGACGCAAGCAGAACTTTATACAGCGTTGCTATAGTACGACTTGATTAAAGCAGATGATTTACTTCACTAACCATATGTAATCAAGAGAAGAAGAAAGCTCGGGTTTACGACAAGTTGTTTCAATGAGGACATATAATTTTTGTCAACCGCATTTTCAATGCTCTGCAACTGTGCTAAACTTGGCGGAAGTGGTGGTTGCTTCGAGAAAACTGGAATTTAGTTGGTTTCAATAAAACAATTTTCAAATTCATAAATTGACTTCTCTTCAAAACCAAACAATCCTTTTAGTAAAACTTATCCCATAAGTGACGCAAAAGCAAATGCAAAAGTGAAAAGATAGACGACGCCTGTGCTAAAATGTTAGCAGACTGAGCGATTGCATATGGCAACGATGTGATAAACATAAAGAATACGAGATTTTGTCTGCACTATAATCTGCTCTATTATAACATGTAATTGAATAAAACTAACAAAAAATGATTAAGGCAAGAATGATCGTATTTGATACGGCCGAAATGAGGAAGAGAAACTTCAGATCAGCAGCAATGGTCGCAGTTTCACCCATATGAACCAGTAATGGCGGTACAATGAAGCCGATCGCAATACCTAACTGCAAAAATGATCAATCAAACCAGCTGACGAATAAGCAATTCCGTTTTGAATTTTGTTGCAACAACTCAGTGAATCGACCAATCAGTCAATGATATCCTTGAAATGAGATCAATCCTGAAAGACAAAAAACAAAACCTGATTGCCAAATACGCCAGCAGCGCAAGCTGTTGATACTTGTTTAGGTCCAAACCAAACAGCTGCTAATCGAGGTGGTATTCCAAGAATAAAAATTTGCGATGAACCGACAATCGCCTGCCCAACGAAGGTGATCCAAAATGAGTCTAAAATTCTACGCAAATTAGTTTTCAGCCTTCAAATAACCATTTACTAATCTTAGTGAACCCAAACTGCTGACTGAATAATCTGTTTAGGACCCTCGCCTGGGTTCTCTTCTTTCATTCGAATGATATGCTCTATACATTTGCAGTACCAGACTAAGTTGAATGTCAAGTTGAGCATAATGCTCAAACTATGATCAATTTCGTTTATTCACCAGCTCAAACTATGATCTTATTTACCAGCTTATACATTCAATTCAATTAAACTGATGTTACCCATAACACGATATTGTGAATTAAACAGAACGCATGTTTCAAGCAAAATTTATTTCATCTTACGCGGATTAGTCGACAGCATTTTGATCCATGCTCCAATAAAGTTTCCAGACGCTCCAAGTAAAACCGATACACGTAGACCGTACTTATCAAGGAGCCAACTGAAAGATGAACGATGAATAATTAAAATGCTTGGTCAAAAAAGAAAGAACAAACCTGGCAGGCATGATGAAAACAATATAAGAAAGCATGTAAACCATCGAGGTCCAATCAACGAGACTATATGAAATCGAGTAGAAATGCACGATAATATGAGCAATGATTGAATACTCAATCCACTGCATCGCATTCGATGCTGATAATAAGACAAATATCGCAAGAATATAATAACGTTTTGTGTACACACGTGTCTCCTGCCGCACTTCTCCACGTTCCACATTTGTTTTGCCCATGTTTCAGAGTCAACTTCAGTTTTTCCCTTCAAGAGTGCATAACTTATCGTACAATTACAAATCTGTCAATACTTCTTATCAAAATGGAATAAAACTTTTCCGTGAATATCTTCGCAACTCACATCAGCCATGGATTAGATACATTTAACAACAACGGGATTTTCCAAATGCCCGCACAGTTGCTCAACAATACAAAGGAATTAATAATCTATGAAATGCGATCGTACTGTAAAACCATCTCTGTTTGCGGGAATGAGTAGTTTCAACTTATTTAGTGAGGTTGGTGTAGGGACTGGAACAGAAAGAGTCGTTTTTCTCCATCTCCGTGATCATTTTGAAGTAAAATCCCTTCTCTTCACTTCTACGACGGGGAACGGCAGTTTCGGTGGGATCACTCGCCGTCCTCTTGTCAAAAGTAAGTTAACTGATTGTGATACAAATAAGATATTGAATTTATGAATTGAAGAATGAATTGTCTCAAGATACATAACAATTAACGGATAAATTCATCAGTTTGATGTGCATTCTGATTGAATATGCTTGTTGACAAGATGAAAACATAGTTGTGAATTATAATGAGATGCTATATTCACAATCAGATGCCTTTGTTTGTTCACATTCCAACATGTACATATATATATATAAATATGAATAAATAAATAAATGAATATATATATATATATATAT